GAGCCCTAGGACTGCCCCCCCCCCCCAAAAAAAAGCCTCATGGACTTCCCTGCCCAGGCTGGCTTTGAACCATGATCCTCAGATCTCAGCCTCCTGAGTAGATAGGATTACAGGTGTGAGCCACGGGCACCTGGCTTATGAATTTATTTTCTTCCCTTAAGAAAACAAGGTATAGATTGTTGCTTGACTACAGCTCCAGAACATCAACAACTATCATTATTCTGGGTATCCCTTCCTGGTCTTCAAATGGCTGCTGCATCTCTACCACTAACATCCATATTCCAAAAAGCAAATTGTCAAGGAGAATGGGTGCTCGGGAGAAGAAAGCAGGATTTCCCAGAAGCAGAAGTCTACCACCCCTCCCCCCTCTCTCTCTCTGTCTCTCTCTCTTTTTTTTTTTTTTTTTTAGTTGGTCATGGGGCTTTAACTCTGGGCCTGGGCACTGTCCCTCAGCTCCTCAGCTCAAGGCTAGCGCTCTACCACTAAAGCCACAGTGCCACTTCCAGCTTTTTCTGCTTATGTGGTGCTGAGAAATCGAACCCAGGGCTTCATGCATGCTAGGCAAGCACTCTACCACTAAGCCACCTTCCCAGCCCCATGCTTCTATCTTAGCAAAAATGGTTCCATGTCCACTTCTAGCTTAAAGAACATTACTTTTACAATTCTGAACAAAACTTTGGTTCTGTTAAGAAGGATTAACAGGCTGGGAAGGTGGCTCAGTGGTAGAGTGCTTGCCTTGCATGCATGAGGCCCTGGATTCGATTCCTCAGCACCACATATGCAGAAAAAGCCGCAAGTGGTGCTGTGGCTCAAGTGGTAGAGCGTTAGCCTTGAGCTGAAGAGCTGAGGGACAGCACCCAGGCCCAGAGTTCAGGCCCCACAACCGGCAAAAAAAAAAAAGAAAGAAAGATTAACAATGTTGGTTAGCAGCAAGCAGACTGCTGCTCCTATGTAGTAAGTGTTGTGTCAGTATTCTAAGATCATCAAGAAGCCCAGAAACATCTAATTTTGTAACTGTAAAGACACACATAGATCTGGGTGCTGGTGGCTCATGCGTTTAATCCTAGCTACCGAAGAGGCTGGGATCTGAGGCACTATTTGAAGCCAGTCTGGACAGGAAAATCCATGAGACTTCAATTAATCACAGAAAAAGCCAGAAGTGGAGCTTAAAGTGGTGGAACACTAGCCTTGAGCAAAAGCAGTTCAGAGACAGTGTCCAAGCCCAGACTTCAAACCCCCTAGGACCAGAACAAAAGAAAGAGATCCATAGTTAAGAATTTAAAAGCAGTCTTCAGTTCTGTATTTAAGAAACACAATTTTACTCATCCACACAAAATTAGGTATTCTATTCCCAAGATCATACTACAAAATCCTCAAGCCAATGACAAGCCGTATGTTGGGCTAATGGGCGTACGGGGAGTTTTCCCAGAGGAACAAGAAGGCACTAGTAGTGTGTTGAGTGGAAGGCACAGCAAAGGCTCATCAGCAGATTGCCTACAGGGAGGGGCATGGTTAGGTTCACAATATGTGCTGTCTATATGAACCACATTTGTGACACCTAACGCACACACCTACAAAAAGAAGGGGGCACTGCGTTTGGACCGCTTGCCGATTGTACCAGGTGTTTTCATCTGGCCTCCTTTTTCAGGGTGTTTAGGTCATTGTACTTTTTGAGTGAAGAAACTGAAAGACCAGGACCGTTATACTTGCCTAAGGCTACACAAAGGACCAAGGTAAGAATTCAATTCCCAGTCAACCAGCTTCCACTTTGATTCTAGAGGCCTGCCACCCCTTCACCTGGACGATAGCAATCAGGCCTGAGGAAGCCCGTGTCCTTCCCACCTTGCCATGACAGCCTAGCTGATTCTTCCCACCAAAAGCTAGTAGACTCGTTGCATGCTGCACTATCCCTTCATCCCACGCCTCCCTCCCGTTGGATTCCAGCTATTAGTAACTTAGATAAAATTGATTTAATTAAAGTCAGGTGCCAGTGGCTCATGCCTGTAATCCTCGCTACTCAGAAGTCTGAGATCTGAGGATCACAGTTCAAAGAAAAGTTTCTTATCTCCAATTAGTTACCAAAAAAAAAAAAAAAAAAAAGCTGAAAGTGGAGCTGTGGCACAAATGGTAGAGTGAAAAAGCTAAGGGATGGTACCCACGCCCTGAGTTCAAGTACCAGTATTGGCACACAGATACACAGACATACACACACTTTTAATTTTCACTGTCTTCATATTAACCCACTGGTTACTGGGGATACTTATGAAACAAAATTACAAAGCATTAAATCTCACATAGCATGCTTTCTCATGCACTTCAAAACTCATAAATAAAAATAGATACAAAAAGGGATCATAGTTTAAAAACATAGGAAGTTATGTGCTAAAGATGGCATTGCAATTAGTGGAGCAAAGATGAACGATTCAATAGATGATGCTAGAATTTTTTTTAAAAAATAGGTTCTTAACACCACACCCAAAAAATGCAAATACCAAATAAATAACGACATATTCAGTCCATGAAAGTAACAGGAAAGTGTGTGGAGAATTCTTTTTAATAATGTCACAATAGAGAAGGATGGAGTTTACCAGCTGCAAGGCATTGTGTGCCTGCACAGAGACAGTGTGCTGTGAAAGTCCCCCAAAAAGCTCCCCCGAAAGGGCCATCAGGATAATTCATGATCCACACAACCACAGCAGTTTAAAAGAATTTTTGAAGACTTAATAAAGCAGCCTGTGAATGTAGCTCAAATGATAGAGCACCTGCGTAGCAAGTACGAGTCCCTGTGTTCAATCCCCAGTACAGTCCCAACTATGGACACATGCACACACACACACACACACACACACACACACACACCACATACAATAAAGCTGAATACATTTTTCACAATACAAAATTGAATAGGAAAAAAATGTAGGAAAAAAGTAACATTGGCAATACATAGAATCATTACATGTTCAAACGCATTTAAAAAGAAAAAAAGGAAAATAAAATGGAAAAACAGACAAAGGACTGGAATAGTGAAATGATTGGGCAAGTGTTCTACTTCATTCATAATTTTGAAAATGTGTTGAGTGAGATATTTGCATGAATCAAAATGACCAAAACTCTTTCCTTAGACTGTGAGACAGGAAGCTTGGAGCTCTCAGGAGAGCTGAATATTGCCAGAGAGCAATGTGTCCAGTCTCACCCCTAGCAGCAGCCTAGCCACAGTGTCATGGGAGAGAGCCACAGAAATGCTGGCACAAAGACAAGGGTGTAGCAGCACTGTGACACCAACAGGCTGGGACCAAAAAGATGATAGTCCTTCATGCAATACAATACTTCCATCTAAAGAACGAGGTAGATTAATACACACTGACATGAAAAGATGTACCAAAATATGCCATCAAGCAACTTGTAAAACCATGTGTAAGGAGCGAGGGAAGGAATGACATTGTCCAAAAAGAAATGAGCTCATTACCTGACTTATGTAACTGTAGTCCCTCTGCACATCACCTTTATAATAACAATAAAAACTTAAAATTAAAAAAACATAGGGCCCAATTGCTATGGTTTTGTTTTTTGTTTTTTGTTTGTTTTGTTTTTTTGGGTCCGGTCGTGGGGCCTGAACTCTGGGCCTGGGTGCTTTCCCTCAGCTCTTCAGCTCAAGGCTAGCGCTCTACCACTTGAGCCACAGTGCCACTTCTGGCTTTCTTCTTTTTGCTTATGTGGTCTGAGGAATTGAACCCAGGGCCTCATGCATGCAAGGCAAGCACTCTACCACTGAGCCACCTATGGTTTTTAAATAATCAGTGTGAATGCAGAGATTCAGAGGGTAAATCTGAGTAACGTAGATTTAAGGTACAGGACACTCATTTTTTTGTTTCCATTTCCTGGAGTTTATTTCAATTATTTTTTTTTATGATCAGAGGCACATAGGCATTGTGCCTTTGTGTTCTTCCCCTAAGAGTGTCCTCCTTTGGTCTTATTGTGTGTGACTGTCTAGAGTCCTTCATACCCTATAATTTAAATTTTACCAAGGTGCCAGGCACTGGTGGCTCACGCCTGTAATCCTAGCTACACAGGAAGCTGAGATCTGAGGATCAAGGTTCAAAGCCAGCCTAGGCAGGAAAAGTCTGTGAGACTCTTATCTCCAATAAACCACCAGAAAACCAGAAGTGGCGCTGTGGCTCAAGTAAGTGTTAGAACATTAGTCTTGAGCTAAAGTTATGCGGGACAGTGTCCAGGCCCAGAGTTCAAGCCCCATGACCGACAATAATAATGATAGTAACAATTTACCAAGGTCTGTATATTTTAGCTCTAGCTCCACATATGAGAGAGAATACACACCATTTGTCTCTTTGAGCTCAGCTTACCTCACTTAACATGATTTTTCTAGGTCCATCCATTCCCTAATTATGACATAATTATTCTTTCTAATGGCTGTTGAAAATTCCGTTGTATATAGGTACTACATTTTTTTGATCCACTCATCTATTGTACGGTGTCTGGGCTGTTTTCACAACTTGGTTATTGTGAATAGTGCAGCAATGAACATGGATGTGCAAGTGTCTTTATGGTATTCTGGCCTGTGATGTCCTGGGTAGATGCCCAGTAGAGGACACTCACTTTTTAATCTCATATTTTCCTCAAATTCCCTCTAAACCCAGTTACATCTATCATCAGAAAATATATATTTAAGAGCTTAAAAATAATATTTAAGCTTACTTTTTATTTAAATATCACATGGATCCAGAGTCCGCCTTGGCCCTCCACACAAAATCCTAACACTGGATTAAAATCCACAACATGAACAGGGCACCAGTGGCTCATGCCTGAAATCCTAGCTGCTCAGGAGGCTGAGATCTGAGGATTGCAGTTCAAAGCCAGCCCAGCAGGAAAGTCCATAAGACTCCAACCTTCAATTAACCACCAAAAAGCCAGAAGGGGGGCGGTGGCTCACATGGTAGAGTGCTAGCTTGAGCACAAAAGCTTAGGGACAGAAATCAGGCCCTGAGTTCAAGCCCCAGGACCAGCACAAAAAAGAAAAGAAAAGAAAAAAGAAAAAAACATGGGTCCTGCCATACAATGGCTACTGTCCACTACTAGGCACTGTTCACTGCCTGGGGAAACAAGATGTTACTCAGCAGGTTCACACCGGTTGTACAAATCCCCCAAAGATTCCTGCCATGAGCAACACACATTCTCAGAAAAGTGTTCCTAGTACAATCAACGATCCACACAAAAATGCATGCATTCTAACATTTGCTACTTAAACAGTCACACAGCCCTGCCAACCAGACCCGGGCCTGGAGCGCTGCACCACTATCAGACCACCAACGAAGATGGAGGAGCAGCCTGGCCAGCAAGTCCCTCTAGTCACATGAAGTGATTTGGCCGATAGGCTCAAGAGCCCTGTGGTAAAATATGGGTTCTGAGGGCCCTGGGCTTCCCCCAGCTTCTTCATTTGCCTCCAAGAAGGCTCCAGTCTCTTTGGGCTTCTTGTCGTGGCAGACTGCTGCACAATCCGGGGGCTTCCTCCTACCCTTCTTCTTCAGCCTCCTCTTGTATGCCCGGTACGCTGGGTGACAAGATACACAAGTGTTAAGAGACACTTTAGCAAAGAGTACAATTTGAGAACACTGTATATTTGCCTATGCTGTAGGGGTTTGTTTGCCTTGCACTATGATGTATAATTACACAGGAAAAAAGAAAGGGATTCATTGTATCTGAAGGGTTCTTTCTGTCTGGAATTGAGTCTCAATTCATTGGCACTGACAGCTCATTCATTCATTCATTCAATCATTCAATTATTCAGTAAACCCCTGTGGGGCATTTATTGTCAGGGACTCACCTGGACACTGAACTGTAATTGGGAATAAATCAGACATGATACTTCACTAAAATGTGGATCTGACCCCAGGAGTTTTATTCTGAGAATATTTCTCTCACCTCATGCAAACATTAAACTCCAAGTATTCTTTGGATGTCTCTGTATCCGTAAACCAGTATATAATAATCAATATTCCGTACATAACTAGTTAATATCAATAATCACTGAGCTTTACTAAGAGTCTGTTTGATGACAATAAAAAAATATATAGCTGGGCACTATTACAGATGGCTCACACCTCTAATCCTAGCTACTCAGGAGGCTGAGATCTGAGGATCACATTTGGAAGCCAACTTGGGCAGGAAAGTCCATGAGATTCTGATCTCCAATAAGCCACCAGAAAACTGGAAGTGGTGCTGTGGCTCAAAGTGGTAGAGGGCCAGCCTTGAGCAAAAGAGCCTAGGGACAGAGCCCAGGCCCAGAGTTCAAACCCCATGACTAACAGCAACAACAAAAATTATAATGGTACAAAACTAAAATATATGTTGGTATGTGTACATCTATACACACATTTTTTCCCAATAATAGTGTTTGAACTCAAGACCTTGCCCCTACTTGGATTATTTGTTTGGCTGGCACTTTGCCACTTGACCTTCACTTGGAGCCCAGTTTTTGCTGGTTATTTGGAGCTGGAGTCAGTCAGACTTTTTTCCCAGGTTATATTCAACCCACAATGCTCCAGATCTCAACCTTGTGAACAGCTAGGATTATAGGCATGTACCACCAATGCCCAATCAGGCTTATTTCATGAAACAGTGTTTCTTTAACTTTTTGTGTAAGTTTATCTTGAAGAGGAGAGTCCTCCTATTGCTACCTCTTAAGTACAAATTCCAAGTGTGTACCACCATGCCTGGCTTGATTGTCATTTTTTGAGATCAGTAACTGCTCATGAAAACCTTGTCTTAACAATTCCTGGAATTAAGTTTGAACAGTGCATTAGTTCTTCTGAAGCATATTTTCTTGTAATTAGAAACTCTCAGATGTTTTCAAAATGTTTTTCTTGTGAAATTCCCACTATATTGAAATATCCTGTTTATGCATTTTATTGTCCCCCAAGGAGTCAGGCTAAAAATGTGTCACAGGGGCATCACATCCAAGTTTGGATTGAAGAAAGGATTGATAAATTGGGGTATTTAATTTTTCAGTCTGGAATTGACTCAATTCTATCTCATCTACCCAGAGAAAGTTCATTTACCTGCCACAATGAGAAATCCATCCAGCATCTGGAAGAGTCCATAAGCCAATGGGAAGTTAAACATCTGGACCAAGTTCTCCGAGGCAAAAGATAACTGGAGCATGGTGATGCACATCTGAATGTTCTGAGCTCCAGTTTCTAAGGAAATTGTCCTGCACCTGACAATGAGAAGGAGTTCAAGAATGACATACTCATCTTCACAGTGGCTCAGACCTATTGTATACATGAGAGCCCAAGATTGAGGGGCTACAGGCAGAAAAATTCATGCAACTCCATTTCAACCAATGGCTGTGCATGGTGACACGCACCTCACATCTCCAGCAGCACAGGGAAGTGCTAGTAGGAGAATTGCAGACCAAGCCAGCACTGGCATAAAGCAAGACATGACCTAGAAAATAATCAATGTAGAAGGAAAAAACTGGAGAAAGCGAAAGAAGGGGTGACATTGTTTAAAAGAAATGTACTCATTACCTGACTTACATAACTGTAACCTCCCAGACATCACCTTTATAATAACAATAAAAATATATACAAAAGAAAATAAGCAATGCTAAAAGAGACTGCAGTCATAGCTCAAGTAGCAGAGTACTAGCCTGGCAAGCATGAAGCCCTGAGTTCAATCCCACACAAAAAAGTTATATAGTAGCAATATGGAATAGACTTAATTTTCCTCTTAGATATGCTAAATACAAGCTTCAAGCTTAGGCAATTAAAAGGGTTTGTCCACTTAGCAGTTATTTGCTGAGTGCCTATAGTAGAGAATTTAAGCTTCTGAGAGGATCTGTGGAGTCAAAGCTTTATGAACCCTGTCCTGGGAACCTGGGTGCATCAACACCCAGGAAAGGATCAATAACAACACAAGACAAAGTATAATCTACCGCCAAGGAGATGCTGTTGAAATTTAGAGATGCAGAGATGCTGCTGAAATGCAGAAGTGGTCAGAGAAGGTTTCCCAAAGGAAAGAAATCATGAATGGCAAGAGTCATTTGGTGAGAGGGGAAATGGAAGTCCCAGGTATGCAAGGCATGGCTTACTCCGAAGGCACCATGTCTTCTGTTGGCCACACCACCTGGAGATTAGAGAGGAAGAAAGAAAGCTGCATGGGCTTTTCGATAATTACTGGTTTTCTGATCAGAGAAAATAAGTCACTTCAAATGAAAAGGGAGAAGGAACAGGGAAACCGTGTGTAGGACATTAGATTAAGCCAGCTTAATCCCCACCCCAACCCTCTGTGTACGTGCATGTGTGTGTGAGAGAGAGAGAGATGAGGAGAAGGAGGAGAGGGAGAAAGGGAGGAGGAGAGGAGGGAGAGACAGCACTGAGGATCAGCCTGGGCACTGCCCTTAGAGTCTTTGCTCAAGGCTGTCACTCTTGAACCACTATCCCACTTCTAGTTTTTTTTCTGGTTCATTAGAGATGAGAGCTTCACAGACTTTTCTGCCCAGGCCAGCTTCAAACCTTGATCCTCAGATCTCAGCATCCTAAATAGCTCAGATTACAGGAGTGAGCCACCAGTGCTGACCTTTTCGCTCCAGTCTCTATCAGGAGTCTGCAGGCTTTTACACAAGGAAGTGAAGAGATGCAAAGAGTTTCTGAAGAAAACTTTGTCTATTTACAAGCTTAGTTGTAATGTGAGGCTCACAAGGGTGTGTAATGTGGAGGTAGAAACACTGTCTATGGTACAGGATAAGTTCTGCAATTCAGATCTCTGTGTGTGTGTGTGTAGACATGCCAGTCCTAAGGCTTGAACTCATGGCCTGGGCTCGGTCTCTGAGCTTTTTTGCTCAAGGCTAGTGCTCTACCACTTGAGCCACTGCTCTACTTTTTTGGTAGTTATCTGAAGATTAGAGTCTCACAGGCTTTCCTGCCTGGACTGGCTTTGAACCTTCTTCCTCAGAGCTCAGCCTTCTGAGTAGCTAAGATTACAGGCCTGCGCTACCAGTGCCTAGCTTTGTGATTCATATCTTGTACTTCCCCTACTATTTGCCATACTTCCCTTAAACTCCTCACTGCTTTCATGCACTTGACAATAACTTGATACAATAACGCAACAAAGCTGGAAGTGGCACCTGGACCATTCACAAGAGAAGGCTCTACCTCAGTCCCTGACAGTTCAGGTCATCAGAGATAAGAAAGACTTGATTGCTGGCTACACTCTGCCATGGGGGTGCTTTCTCTTCCCATCCGGTTCTAAGGTTTTTTGTTGGGTTTATTTTGTTTTTTAATTACCTTTAACTAGATGTAACCGACATATAACAAAGCAGTTTATGAACACAGCACATCTTGATCAGCGTTATCCTCCCGGTTTGACCTACCCTTTCCCTTACTTTTCTTAGCTTTGTGGTCTGTATACTGAATCCTTGGCTATGTTCTTCCTCCCTTCCCTGCTTCATCTTCCTCTCTCCCTTTGCCTCCCCCTCATGTGTACCTATTTCCTGGTGGTTTTGTTGAGCTTTTTGACCTAGTCTTTCTAAAAGATTATACTCTCAAAATTGTTCATTTTTCTTGAAATCCAAGTTCAAATCCAAACTCCATCATTTTCTAGCTCTGGAGTTTGCTCAGCAGTTCGAAAGAAGGTAATGGTGGTGCTTATGAAATATGGACACTGGGTCTAATGGATGTCGTCTTGGCATCTGGGTGGCTAGATAGGGGCTTCCTGAAAATTCTTATAGGTGAAACCCCCTCCCATCCTCAGGTGATAGGAAGCAGGGGTAGAAACTTGGACAATGGGTTCGGGGACCTACCAGACCTGTACTATGAACTTGCAAGACTCTGAACTCAAGCTCCCCATGACCCTGAGAATGACCCTATTTAGGCCAGACCACCTAGTGTGCCATGCCTCCTGTCTCCTGCCTCTCCTCAGGTCACATGGCGACCCTCTTCAACTCTCCATTAGAGTTGATCTGGTTTGTTGAGATTGCTTTTCTGCTCTTTCTTTACTACCCTCTTTCTCAGGTTTCTAACAGTATTAAGTGTATTGGAGGCTGCATGTGTTTGGGGGACATGTGTCCACTCACAGTCACCGGCTTTCTAATAAAGACTCCCGATTCGACCTCTCAAAATGTCGCTTCTTGATACCTCATGGCGGAACTTCTGCACCACACGTACCTTCTCAGCGTTTAAAACAAGCTTGATTTGTGGAGCCTTGCACAGTGCACAGAACATTACTGACTTCCCCAGTGGAATGGAAGCAACATAAACTCACCCCCACATTTCCACCTTCCACCTCTGCAATCCAGCCACATCATTTCTTTTTAGTTGACAGACTTATCAAAAATTGTGAGAAATATACCTAGAAACTGAAAATACGTAAGGACTAAAATGACCCTGAATCTCACACATGCTATATTTCTCCTAGTATTTTTCCACACATACCATTGGTTTTGCTTTCTTCCACAAAGTAGGAATCAAACGTTCATTTTTTAAATTTTTTTAACTAAAATTTGTTTCTTGAATATTTTCCAGAATTGTTAAGCTTAATGTATCTTATCTACCACATGCATCAGGAATTAAATATCTCCCTATTGTTAGATATTTAAATTATTTCCATTTTTACATGTATGAATAACCCTACAATGAATGCATCAGCATTCACTTGCATATCTTGGAGCACTAACTTTAGAATAGATCTTGAAAAGTAAAATACTGCTAGGTATAGTGGCTCAGGCCTGTAATGCCAGCACTAGGTAACAGAATCACAAATTTGAGGCTAGCCTGGACTACCTTGCAAGGTCTGTCTCAAAACAAAAGTAAAATGACCGATTTAGCAACTGTGAGTATTTATCTTAAGCTGGCAATATAATACTAAATTACCTTCCAGAAAAAAAGTTTAATTAATTTGTATCTCCCATCATTGTACTACAGCACTCATTTTAGGACAAGCATGCCCTCCTGGAGTATCATCGTTTCCAGTATTCTATAGTATTATAAACAAAATGCCTTAATTCACAGTGAAAATGTTGATGAAGAACTCCCATCTTATGCCTCAATTTGTCTCTTTTCTCTTCTTGTGTTTTATAATTAGTATATGGCACAATGAATAAGGACTTACTCTCTTACAGCTCAGTTCATGCCTTACAATCATCTCTGGGTTCAGTGAAACAACCTCATAACCTCATTCCTCCTGCTTAATTCTTGGGTTTAAAAAAAAATTCCAAGAAATGGATTCATATTACCTTATGAAACTATAACCCCTCTGTACATCACCTTTATAATAAAACACAAAATATTAAAAATAAAAAGAATTTAGGACACACACACACACACACACACACACACACACACACACATACAAGAATCCAGATTTCAACAGAATTTCAACCCCAATCCTAATTTCACACATTACGCTTCCTATTAATGTAGCCTTTGTATTACTGTACATAAAAGATTGCTTTCATCTCTCCATCTTCTGCTGCTGAGGTGACAGCCCCAACCACTGTGTGACCAAAACCTTTCCTGTCTCCTGGCACAGCTGGAGAGCAAAGTCTTCCAGTGATCAGGTATGTCACTTACCTTTTCTGAAATGCTGTGGGGAGGTAGCTCAGAAAGAGCATGCTTGCCTAGCACACATAAGGCCCTGTGTTCAAGCCCCACAACCATCACCCCCACAAAGAAACACTTCTTGATAATGTGACTGTACCTTTGCCATGATTGGTGGGTAAGGAGTGCCAGTAGAAAGCCTGCCACATGGCCGACCAATGGAAAGATGAAACTGATGATCAGAAAAGTGGTGTCTGAATTCCAGAATCCCTTTGCCAGCACCACACCAGCAACTGTGACCACCAGAAGGAGGATCCCACCAACGACGGCCCCAATCTAAAACAAACCAACAAAAGTTGTAAGTTTGAGAACAAAGAGGGAACTTAGCATTGAATCTGAGTGCATCCCTCAACACACAGCAGATTATCCTGCTACTCATATGGATGCCTGAAACCAGATACTTCTGAATCTATGTATTCTATATGCTTGCTAAGCACATACATCTACAAGAAAGGAAATGAGCAACTAATAACACAAATATAACAAATAAATGGTCTTCATGAACAGTAGGTAATGGTTCAAGGATATTTATACATGGCACCTAGTAAAATAATATAAGGAATGAAATGTGCTGGGCAATCCAAGTAAATGAACACAGAACACTGTGGCAAGTGGAAGGTCCGCTGATCTGGGACAGCAAGAAGAGATGTAGAGGGCAGAGAATGTGGCTTAGTGGTAGAATACTTGCTTTATTGACAGAGTGCATTCATAAAGCCCTCAGTACCACATAAACAGAAAAAGCTGAAGTGGTGCTGTGACTCAAGTGGTAGAGTGCTAGCCTTGAGCTGAAGAGCTGAGGGACAGCACCCAGGCCCAGAGTTCAAGCCCCATGACAGACTAACTTAATTATCTGATTAACTAATTAAAAATGAGAAAACAGAGAAAAACTCCATGGCTTGTTATTATATTTTAATTGTGTATATGTGTGTGCACATACGTGCACGTACGTGCACCACTACTGTAGCTTGAACTCAGAGCCAAGGTTCTGTCCCTGAGCTTTTCTTTCAAAGATGGTGCTCTACCATTTGAGTCATAGCTCCACTTCTGACTTTGCCATGGTTAATTGGATGTAAGAGTCACACAGATGCCAGGCACCAGTAGCTTATACCTGTAGTCTTAGCTATTCAGGACTCTGAGAGCTGAGGAACACAGTTCAAAGCCAGCTGGGCAGGAAAGTTGGAGAAACTCATATCTCTAATTAATCACCAAAAAGCAGGAAGTGGAGTTATGGCTCAAGAGGTAGAGTGCTAGCCTCGAAAATAGAGCTCAGGCCATGAATTCAAGTCACAAGACTGGAAAAAAAAAAGTTTCACAGACTTTACAGCCCAACAGGCTAACTAGGAACCACTATTGTTAGATCTCAGCCTTGTGAGTAGCTAGGCTTACAGGTATGAGGCAGTCACCACGGACACTGAGATAGTGTGGGCAGAAGCACTCCCCCAGGGAACGTCTGCACAAAGAGCAGAACTGGTGGCACTCACAAAAGCCCTACAGATGGGAAAAGGGAAGAGACTAAACATTCACACGGACAGTCGGTATGCTTTTGCCACCGTGCATGTCCATGGAGCCATTTACCAAGAGAGGGGGCTGCTGACAGCTGAGGGAAAGACTATTAAAAACAAACAAGAAATTTTAAGCCTCATCCGGGCCATATGGGAACCAGCAAATATTGCCATTATGCACTGCCCTGGCCATCAAAAGGGAACTGATTCTATAACCAAAGGAAATAACTTGGCCGATCAGGCAGCTAAGGAGGCGGCCCTCCAGCCCAGAGCGGAAGTACTGACTCTAGTAGACCCAGGGCCAAGAGCTTTGCCTCCTGAGCCTCAGTACTCCCAAGAAGACTTGGAGTGGATAAAGAAAATTCCCATGAGCCGGGCGCTGGTGGCTCACGCCTGTAATCCTAGCTACTCAGGAGGCTGAGATCTGAGGATCGCGGTTCAAAGCCAGCCCGGGCAGGAAAGACCGTGAGACTCCTATCTCCAATAAACCACCAGAAAACCAGAAGTGGCGCTGTAGCTCAAGTGGTAGAGCGCTCGCCTTGAGCTGAAGAGCTGAGGGACAGCGCCCAGGCCCAGAGTTCAAGCCCCACGACTGACAAAAAAAAAAAAAAAAAAAATTCCCATGGCCTATAAACCCCCGAACAGAGAAGGAAACAAAGACTGGTGGAAAACTGGTGAAGGGAAACTTATCTTACCACAAAGATTAGGCAAGGGGATTCTTAAGAGAATCCATCTGGTCTCTCACATGGGAACCCGAAGAATGCAGGACTTGCTCCGACACTCAGAAGTAAAAATTAAGCAAGGAAATTAACTCACTGAGGACATTGTTAAAAATTGTAAAGCCTGTCAGCTCACCAATGCCCCCAATCAACCGGTTACAAAAGGAGCTCGCCTCCGTGGAGATAGGCCAGGTGTGTATTGGGAAGTAGACTTCACAGAAATTAAAACTGGAAAATTTGGATATAAATATTTGCTAGTTTTTGTAGACACCTTTTCAGGATGGGTTGAAGCCTACCCAACAAAGCATGAGACCTCGAACATCGTGGCTAAGAAGATCCTGGAAGAAATCCTACTCAGTATGGCTTCCCATCCACCATTGGGTCGGACAATGGATGGGCCTTCATCTCAAAAGTAAGTCAGGGAATAGCCGCGGCACTGGGGATGGATTGGAAATTGCACTGTGCTTATAGACCCCAGAGTTCAGGGCAGGTAGAAAGAATGAATCGGACTCTAAAAGAGACCTTAACTAAATTGGCCTTGGAGACTGGCGCAGACTGGGTATCACTCCTTCCTTTTGCCCTGTTTAGGGTAAGAAATTCACCCTATCAGCTTGGCTTTACTCCTTTTGAAATAATGGATGGACACCCTCCACCCATTATCCCTAGCCTTCAGACTGAATTGCTTGCTGATTTGGATGATACTGAATTTCTGTGTAAGCTTGACTATTTACAGCTGGTGCATAAGAGTATGTAGCCCCAGCTTAGAGCATTATATGATTCTGCTTCTATTCCTACCCCCCATTTGTTTAAACCAGGGGACTGGGTGTTTGTTCGAAGACACAACTTGAAATCTCTGGAACCACGGTGGAAGGGACCTTACATGGTGCTACTGGCTACACCCACTGCCCTTAAGGTGGACGGCATTGCTGCTTGGATCCACTGCTCCCACGCCAGACCGGCTGACCCCTTTGCCCTGGACGACTGTGGGGAAACATGGGAAGTCTCCAAGCATCCTACCCAACCACTCTGCATATGCCTCAAGAAAAGAAAAATGGACTCATTGTTATTGGTATTGTTGTTTATGGCTAAGGTCAGAGAGGGACTAGTCAAGATCCAGAGCTGTTGGAGTTTAGTTTGGGGCCCGAGCCACAAGATTGTGTCTCAGGACCATAAGTCAAGGCGGGGAATGAAGGGTTAAAGTTATGAGGCAGTGACCACTTGTTGCTTGGTTAAACTAAACCTAAGATCAGCAAATTCTGTCTAGCAGAGCAACACATGGTGGTAATCCAAACACCTGGTTCGTTGTGTGCCTTTATAAGCCCTGCAAATGTTTAGCTCGGGGCTCTCCTCCTAGGCTCCGCTATGTTGGAGTATAGGACAAGGCTCGAGCTGCAGCCCGTTTAAATAAAACCTTAAAAGGGCTGTAGAGTCTGACTCTCAGTGGTCTTGTTGGTGGAGGTCCTGCGACCTGGGCACGACAGAAGAAGCCCAGATCAGGTTAGCTCACTCACTCCAACAGTCACCTCCTCCTGTCTTTCAGGTCTCTGTGTCTGGGGATGTACTAACACACTCACCTTAAGGATGATCTTTGATTGTTTTGGCCACCTGTAATTCACATAAACACCAAAAGCCACAGGAATGGCCAGGCACACAAGGGTAATTCCTAAAGAGAAAAAAAAAAAAAATCCATGAGATAGTGCGTCCTCTTACCTCTTACCTCTTGCCAGCCTGAACAGGAAAGTTCCTGAGACTCTTATCTCCAATTAACCACAAGAAAACTGGAAGTGGTGCTGTGGTTCAAGTGGTAAAGTGCTAGCCTTGAGCTGAAGAGCTCAGGGACAGCACCCAGGCCCAGAGTTCAAGCCCCACAACTGACCAAAAAAAGAGTCAATCACATGACAGCTTAGAGACAACAGGACATGTACAGGTTAGAAAAGAGTAAGTCCCTCCCTTTTAAATCTGTGGAACTCTGGGGCTGGGAAGGTGGCTCAGTGGTAGAGCACTTGCCTTGCATGCATGAGGCTCTGGGTTCGATTCCTAAGCACCACATAAGCAGAAAAAAAAAGCCTGAAGTGGTGCTGTGGCTCAAGTGGTAGAGCGCTAGCCTTGAGCTGAAGAGCTGAAGGACAGCGCCCAGGCCCAGAGTTCAGGCCCACGACCAGACCCCCCCAAAACCTGTGGAACTCTTTGGTCATACTCTAGAACCATAACTGTTATTTCCATCTGAGGCTACTTGCTTCACAAAATAAATAATGACTCTTCCAGACGTGAAAGCAGCATTTGCTACAATACCAAAGCAATTGGTCATACTGCCCAAGTGTCACCAGCTCACCTAAAGAAGGGTAGACAGAAAAGCCTTTGTAATTAGCACAAGTGAACAAAGGCATGAAGGCAGGCTTAGGAAAGCAGAGGGATCTGTTTGCTATCAGTAAAATCCAAATCTTGACATTTTCCACTGCTTGGATCTGGAAAAGTGACTACAATCCTGACTGTGAAGAGATATGAGTTGCTTGTGACATTTGTACTTTTTATTGTTTATGATTCCATTCAGGACACATTACCTACCAGTCACCAGTAGCTTGAGCCTATAATCCTAGTTACTCAGGAATCTGAGATCTGAGGATCACTGTTCAAAGCCAGCCTAGGCAAGAAAGTCTATGAGACTTTTATCTCTAATTAACCACCTGAAAACCAGAAGTTGTGCTGTGGCTCAACATGGTAGAGCACTAACCTTGAGCAAAAAGAGCTCATGGACTGTGTCGAGGCCAAGTTCAAGCCCCATGACAGACCAAAAAAAAAGAACATATTGCCACAATGTAATATATGAAATCACTTTACAGAAAAAGTTACATATGAAACTGTGATTTCTTTTTTGTTGTTTTGGGGGGTTAAATTGGGTTATTGTTTGTTTTATTTTGGTCCTGTGCCTTGAACTCAAAACCTGGACACTGTCCCTGAGCATTTGTTCTCAAGGCCTATGCTCTACCACTTGAGGCACAACTCCACCTCCAGCATTTTGTGATTAATTGGAGATAAGAGTCTTATGGATTTAGCCTTCCTGGGCTGACTTCAAATCACAACCCTTGGATCTCAGCCTCCTGAGTAGCTAGGATTAAAGGTGTAAACTACCAGAGCTCATCAAAACCATGATTTCTAAATAAAAGCTTTACTCAAATTTTACAAATACAGCAGGTTCCACCTGTTATGGGAAGATGGCTGCATTCAGGCTTTGCAACTGTGAGTGAGGTGACACTGCAGAGGTTTTGTACATGTTAAGAGGTTTTGTCCTATCATGTATCACTTTGGTCATATTGAGAATCATAGCACTTACTTCTCCAGCAACTCTGACCAAACTAGCACAGGCAAACCATGGTACTACATTCCTCTTCCAAATGAAATTTCCAAGTATAGCACATCCACAGTGGTCTTTAAAATAAGATCAGAGTTTTGTGAGAAATATCTTGCAAGAGAAAAGCTAATGAGAAAAATTGGTTTGACTGACAAGAGGGGGAGTTTTACTGATTAGTAGGTACCACTTATGTTTAATCTGTAAGAAAAAAAATCTAGGTTCGAGAGGAAGTTAAGAGGTGAAGTCATGAAAATGAAGGTATAATCAGAGCCACTAAATCCAATTCAACTTTGGATCATAAAATACTCTTTCTGAATTTCTGTTCCAAACATGGTTGCTCTCTCTTGTACATGCACTTCTGCCATTACTATCCAAAATAACCAGAACTTGTGCCACGCTGTTTGGACTTTTTGTGGGGAAGAGGGTCAGTTCTGGGGCTTGAACTTTGGGCCTAGGCACTGTCCTGAACTTCCTTTTGCTCAAGGTGAGCACTCTACCACTTGAGCTACAATACCACTTATGGCTTTTTTGAGTAATCTATTGGAGATAAGAGTCTCACAAAATTTCTTGCCAGGGCTGGGAATGTGGCTCAGTGGTAGAGTGCTTGCCTTGCATGCATGAGGCCCTGGGTTCGATTCCTCAGCACCACATAAGCAAAAAGAAAAAAAGCCGGAAATGGCGCTGTGGCTCAAGTGGTAGAGCGCTAGCCTTGAGCTGAAGAGCTGAGGGACAGTGCCCAGGCCCAGAGTTCAGGCCCCACGACCGGACCAAAAAAAACCCCAACAACAACAACAAAATTTGCCAGGGCTGGCTTCGAACCATGATTCTCAGATCTCAGCCTCCTGAGTAGCTAGGATTACAAGCATGAGCCACCTAGCTCTGCTTGGACTTTTAATTGCCAAAAGTGGGGATTAAATTAACAAATCTTCTTCTTAACTAGCCCACTTCTGGTATTTTATTTAACAAAGAAATTGACTAATTCCTAGAGATCAACTTTTGGGTTCTGCAGTCCAATTCCTGAGTTAGAATACCAGTCCTGCACTTACCGGCTATACAATCTTCACAAAGCTGCTGAAATCTAGGAAATTGAATGAATAATAAAAGTCCATAGACAATATTCTAGGCATTCACACATAGTCATACTAAAGAAGACTACCCTTAGGGGAGGAAGCCAAAGGTGTGCAACTCCTCTGCACATAAAATACTAGTTATCAAAATGAAAATGTGGAAATGTGGGTGTTTTGGTGGTGGCGGTGGTGGTGGTGGTGATAGTGATGGTTGTGGTGTTTGTTTTTGCTTTTGTCTGTTTTTTTCTTTTTAGGGGGTGTCGAAGAGAAGGCATAGGAAGGGAGGGAGGATGGGTGAACAAATGAAATCATGCTTTTCAGTATCTGCAATGTGTAACTTGTGGGCAAGAACAGGAGGAAGAAACTAGAGGAAAGAGAAGCGACAGAATGACATTGTCCAAAAAAGAAATGTACTCATCACCTGACTTATGAGATAGCAACCACTCTATACAATACCTTAATAATAAAAATAAAATTATGGGGGCTGGGAAGGTGACTCAGCAGTAGAGCGCTTGCTTTGCATGCATGAGGCCCTGGGGTCGATTCTTCAGCACCACATAAGCAAAAAGAAAAAAAAAAGCGGAAGTAGTGCTGTAGCTCAAGTGGTAGAGCGCTAGCCTTGAGCTGAAGAATTCAGGCCCCATGACGGACCCAAAAAATAAAAAAATAAAAAAATAAAAAATAAAATTATGATGTTTTTAAAAATGCATAAGATTATAAAAGTTTAACGAGTTTATTTTAGGGAATTCCAAAAATATCCTACATGAAGCCGGGTGCCAGTAGCTCACACCTGTAATCCTAGCTACTCAGGAGGCTGAGATCTAAGGATTGTGGTTCAAAGCCATCCCGGGCAGGAAAGTCCATGAGACTCTTATCTCCAATAAAACACCAGAAAACCAGAATTGGCACTGTAGCTCAAGTGGTAGAGCGCTCCCCTTGAGCTGAAGAGCTGAAGGACAGAACCCAGGCCCAGAGTTCAAGCCTCACAACAGACAAAACAAATACAAAAACAAAAACAAAAGTCCTACATAAAAAGATAATAAATTGATGGAAGCATCAGCTATTACTTGAACTATTACTATGGTTATTTGTGCTCCATTTCACAAGCCCAATACACACCGATGTTCTGGTATGGAATGGTGAGGTTCTGTGCCAGGTCCCAGGACCAGGTGTAGAGATACAGGCAGAGGGGCATCATTCCCAACGCAGCCACTGTGGAACAGGTTGTCATACTGATGCTGAAAGTAAAATTAAAACCATACTTAGGAGGGAGAAGTAGACATTAAGGATTTAGTCTTTTCTAACTTTGAGAACTTTGTCTTGATGGGCACTGGTGGCTCAAGTCTGTAATCCTCCCTACTCAGGAGGTTGAGATCTGGGGACTGTGGTTTCAAGCCAGGCTGGTCAGGAAAATGCATGAGACATTTATCTTGAACAAACACAGAAAAAGCCAGAAGTGGAGTGGTGGCTTAAGTGAAAGAGCACTAGCCTTGAACAAAAGAATCTCAGGGGCAGCGCCTAGGTACCTGAGTTCAAGCCCCAGGACTGGCACCCCCCCCCCCCCCACACACACACACCTAAGGTAGAAGGTATGGCTCAGTTGGTAGAGCATTAGCCAATGAGTGAAAGTGTCAGATACTGAGTTTGAGTTCTGGTGGGGGGGCATGGAGAACTCATTCTTAGCTGAGTGCAAGTAGCACAAGCCTATAATCCTAGCTACTCAGGAGGCTGAGATCTAAGGACTGTAGTTCAAAGTCAACCCAAAAAGGAAGTTCATGAGACCCTCATTTCCAGTTAGCCATAAAAAATCCACAAGAGGAGCTGTGGCTCAAGTGGTAGAGCACTAGCCTCAAGTGGAAAAGCAAAGAGATAGCACCCGAGCCCTGAGTCCAAGTCCTAGTACCAGCACAGCAAATAATAGTAATAGTAAATTTGAATTTACCAAAATAACAATTGAGACTTAATCTCCTAAAGATTACCCGCATAAACTAGTTGCAGTAGGAGTTAGTTGGAGTTTACTTCTCTAAGCTAGTTGGAGTTCATTCTCTCCTGTCCAACAAATAGTATCTTCACTTCCAGCAGTGCTTGTCATCCATCGATTCATTTACCAGGCTTCTGATTGCCCTAAATGTTCTGCTAAGTGCTATATATAGGACAGGTTTTTTTCATATTCTCTTTCTATTGGGATGCAAATTCATGACCATAGAACTCATCATTTAAAGTGTACAGTTCAGCCATTTTAATATAACTCCAAGACTGTGTATTTACAGTATGATTTCCATCAAAAAAAAAAAAAGTCTAGGTACTTGTGGCTCACCCCTGAAATCCTAGCTATTCAATAAGCTGAGATGCATAATGTAAAGCTAGCTCAGGCAGTTGCAGCAAGCATGAGGCCCTGAGTTCAAAAGTTCCAACACTAGTACTGGAAAAAACAAAACCAAAAAGCCAAAAATAACCTCCATCCCCATTAGCAGTAATCCCCCACCCTCCTTTCCTCCAGCCTCAAGAACCACTACTATGTTTCCTGTCTTTAAAAGATTGCCTATTCTGGGGCTGGGAAGGTGGTTCAGTGGTAGAGCGCTTGCCTTGCATGCCTGAGGCCCTGGGTTCGATTCCTCAGCACCACATAAGCAAAAAGCCGGAAGTGGTGCTGTGGCTCAAGTGGTAGAACACTAGCCTTGAGCTGAAGAGCTGAGGGACAGCGCCCAGGCTCAGAGTTCAGGCCCCATGACCAGACCCCAAAAAAAAAAAAAAAAAGATTGCCTATTCTGTGTATTTATATGAATAGAATCATCCAATATGAGGCCTAGAGGTGAGTCTAGTTTATTTCATTTAGCTTATGGTTTTCAAGACTCAATCCGTGGGCAAGCATATATCATTCTTTTTTTAATGGCAGGTGTTTTTTTATTCTGTTAATAAGGAGTAAGGAGACCATGGGTTTGATAGTCTGTTTTCTGTAGCGGCTTCTGAGCTGAAGGTAGATTGCTGAACCTACCTAGAAAGGGAACTAAACAGTCATTTTTCTATTTTTTTTTTTTTTTGGTTGTGGCTTGAACTCTGGGCCTGGGTGCTGTCCCTGTGCTCTTCAGCTCAAGGTGAGCCCTCTATTGCTTGAGCCACAGCACCACTTCTGGATTTCTAGTGGTTTATTGGAGATGAGAGTCTCATGGACTTTCCTGCCCAGGCTGGCTTTGAACTGCGATCCTCAGATCTCTGCCTCCTGAGTAGCTAGGATTATAGGTGTGAGCCCCTGGTGCCCGACTCATTTTTCTATTTTCTTTAGGAAGCGACATAGGGCAAATTCAGTTGGCAGGAGATTTAGTTTATAGGTTGGTTGTGGGGCCTGAACTCTGGGTCTGGGCACTGTCCCTCAGCTCTTCAGCTCAAGGCTAGTGCCCTACCACTTGAGCCACAGCACCACTTCCAGCTTTTTCTGCTTATGTGGTACTGAGGGATCAACCCCAGGGCCTCATGCATGCAAGGCAAGCACTCTACCACTAAGCCACCTTCCCAGCCCAGAATTAACATATTTTTGTATATATTTTTATTGTAACAATGCTGTACAGAGGGGTTACAGTTGCATGAGTAACTTAATGAGTACGCTTCCTATCGAGCGTTGTTACCTCCTTTGTTTTTCCCTTCCATCCCTTCCCTCCCCACCTTCCCAACTCCTCCCTCCCCCCTCAATTAACTATATTTTTATTACATTATACTAAGTAAGTTAGTGCTCTATAAACTACCTAACATTTCTGTTTTGTTTGGTTTTTGTTTGTGCTAGTCCTGGGGCATGAACTCAGGGCCTGGGAGCTGTCTCTGCACTCTTTGGGCTCAAGGCTAGTGCTCTACTATTTCAGCCACAGCTCCACTTTGGGCTTTGGGGGTGGGGAGGGAGTAGTTAATTGGAAATCAGAGTCTCACAGATTTTCCCACTTGGACTGGCTTTGAACTTCAAACTTCAGATCTCACCTCCTCAGTAGTTAGGATTACAGGTGTGAGCCACCAGTGCCTGGCTTAATTCATAGGAACCCATTGTTGCACTATTCACAATAACCAAGTCATGGAAACAGTCCAGATGCCCTATAATAACTGAGTGGATCAAGAAAATGTGGTACATATACCCAATGTAATTTTACTCATTCATTAGAAAGAATAATATTAATGTCATTTGTAAGGAAATGGATGACCTAGAACAAATCATGTTAAATGAGGTAAGCCAAGCTTGAAGACACAAATGGAATGTTTTCTCTCATATGTGGAAGCTAGATCTAGAATACAACTGGACATAATAAATTACAAAGGGCTGTACACATTTACACACACACAAGCTGACAAAAGGAAAATACACTTAAAGAGGAACCCAAAGGCATAACTCCTCTGAACATCTAAAATACTATTTACCAAAACAAATTCCAGGAAATCTCAACATGGTTTATTGCTGTTGTTTGTTTGTTTGGAATTTTTTTAAATTGTTTTTAGAGGAGGAGACGAAGGAGAGGAAGGAGGAAAGGTTGCAACAGTCAGATCAGAATACATTAAGTTATTCAGTGGCACTGTAGCTCAAGTGGTAGAGCGCTAGCCTTGAGCTGAAGAGCTGAGGGACAGCGCTCAGGCCCAGAGTTCAAGCCCCACGACCCATAGGATACATTAAGTTATTCTTTTTTTGCATGTACAAGTCCTGGGGATTGAAGTCAAGGCCTGGGTGTTGTCCCTGATTTAAAAAAAAAAAATTAATTTTTAATTTTATTTTTACTTTTTGTCAGTTGTGAAGCTTGAACTCAGGGCCTGGGTGCTGTTCCTGAGCCTCTTTGTGCTCAGGGCTGGAGCTCTACCACTTGAGCCATAGCACCACTTCTGGTTTTTTAATAAAATAGAAGACAAAATAATGGGCTTTCTGCCTCTGCCTTCTCATTAAAAGGATAAACAGATAGGGAATTGGGAAGATAACTGTCTGGCAAAAAGAAGTGAAATGGTGAGACAAAGGACAAAGGGTAAACCAATGCAACAGCGATACTCACAAAACACATGGAAATAAATTTACAACTTGGCAGGGGAGTGGGGAGGGGGGGGAAGAGAAGATGGAAGAAAAATGAGGGAAGGGGTAACAATTTTGATCAAGAAATGTTACCTTATGTATGTAACTGTAACCCTTCTGTACATCACCTTTACAATAAAATTAAATTTATAAAAAGAAGTGTTATTGTTCTACTTTTCCAGGTGAGTCTCAATAACACCTCCACCCATCTTTCCCAAACCATTGTCTAAAATATTAGGGTGTACATTGCAACAATGAGATGTACAAGTCATTATGTGGAAAACTTTACAACTTTGGTGAGGGGGGGAGGAGGATCCGATGTGGGGGCGGGGGGGAGGCTGGGAAGGGATGGGAAGGGGAAACAAAGGAGGAGGCTACAATGCTTGATAAGAAATGTACTCATTATCTTGCCCATGTAATTGTAACCCCTCTGTACAGTATTTTCACAATAAAAATAAAGAAAGAAAGAAAGAAAACAAAGATTATTCTTCCAGCTCTTAAAACATAAAGGACACAGACAAGAGCTACCATATTTAAATCTTTACTCCCACTTTCTGTTTGAGGAGCAGGAAACGTTTCTCATTGTTTCCTCATCCCTCCCATACTCTATCCTGCTATACCAAGATAAATCCTCATGAAATTTTTTTTTTTTTTTTTGGTTGTGGGGCCTGAACTCTGGGCCTGGACACTGTCCCTCAGCTCTTCTGCTCAAGGCTCGTGCTCTACCACTTGAGCCACAGCTCCACTTCTGACTTTTCCTGCTTATGTGGTGCTGAGGAATGGAACCCAGGGCCTCATGTATGCAAAGCAAGCGTTCTACCACTGAGCCACCTTCCCAGCCCATCATGAAAACTTTCTAAATACCAAAAGAGAAAGTTGGTAGATAGGAGTATAACTCAGTAGAGTGTGCTTGTCTACTATATAGGAGGCCCTGGCTTTGATCCTCAGCACCACAAAAAAATAAAATAAGCCAGGTGCCAGCCTCAAGTCTATAATCCTTGCTACTCAGGATGCTGTGATAGGAGGATTATATTTCAAAGCCAGCCCAGAGAAGTTCCTGAGACTCTTAACTCCAATTAATTATAACATGCTGGAAATGGAACTGTGACTCAAGTAGTAAAGTGCTAGTTGTGAGCACTGGGGCTCACATACAGCACCCAGTCCCTGAGTTCAAGCTGCAAGATCAACACACACACACACACACAC